TAATACCCAGATGTTAATCGCGCTTGACCAAAACGGACCCAGACATAAAAACGATTTATGATTCGACACTAAACAGAAGCGAAATTAGAACGCACGTCGCCGCAAGTCGAAACAGATTGTGGTGTGTATTTTAAAATGTCTACACAAGAGTACGGTGAATTCCAGGTGTACAAGGCAGTTCGAAAAGAAACTTAGAAACATTTACGTCAGCCTACAAGAACGGTATGACCGTAATAATAGTCGCCGGACTCTGAATGTAACAGTCTGACTATAAAAAAATTTCCTTAAATATTTATTTGCTTTAACCATCAGCCGTTAACCCAAAATTGGAAGTATTGTCCATGAGGAAGATAGGAGCGTCCAGCGCAGAATGAGTCAAAAGAGTGGCGTCAGCTAGGGCAGCCTTCAGCTTTTCAGAAGCAGAAATTGCGTTTGCAACCAGCTAGATCGAATCTACGGGGACAGACGGGAGGTATGTGAGCCGTAGGAGGGTATCGCAAAGTTTGAGCGAACCGGTGATAGGCATTTAAACTGATAAGAAAAGGTACATTTGATGTATGGAGGTGGGCTGCGGAAATACCAGATGGCCTCGATATTCGAAGAAAGAGGCTGGATGCAAGTTGAAATCTAAAGCCGCCAAGAATATTGAATCAAATATGACCACAAGCAACAGTCCTACAGACAAGAGTTGGAACATCGTGACCGATGATGTCACCTGTTTACTCCAAGGCAGGGTGAAAGCAAGGGCGATAACTTGTGGGTTAGTTTAAAGTGATATTGGTCTTGCGATTCGTCTACCGCACTCTCTTCTCCTCCCCTCATTTGGACCCGGTGTCAAGACAGAGTCGGGAAGACCGGAAGGGATAGGGACGCAGGTAGCTGGCACGACGAAACTCCCCCCTCCAAAGGCGTACCACTACACTCCAAGTCCACAATGTACACTGAACACGATCAAAAACTGACCACAAACAAAACTACTGGTATGGATGGCAACGTATCGAAAAGCACACTTATTATAAAGGAGTTGGCGGAAGAAAACACCGCACTGCTCGCCTTCACGAAAGATTTCCGTGTGAGGGTGCAGTGGCCGAACGGATGACATCTCTGTCGCAGCTAGTGAACGGAGCTACTGTTTTGGAACTCAGTAGGCAGAAATATGTTTACGCAATCCTGGGTCTCACACTGTGTCCATACCTAAAATTGGCAGCTTGGCTCTCAGTACACCAGTCGGCCACTCAACGCACAAACACACATCGGGCTGACTGAGAGGTCCGAGTCATCCCGTCAGTTGATAATCTTCCAAGTCACGGCTTTTAGCCCGCCATGATAGCTTCAAACGGTCAAATTGTCTATAGTGAAGATTTATGAGCTGAGAGTCTACCTCGCCCACCCTGCCCTACCCAGTGCATCCGTCGGCTGTCCGAACCGGTCAGATATCTGATGTTAAGATTGGGAGGTATGACTGACGGAGATAAGGACAGCTCGACTGCGAGTGCTATACGCACGATCCGACTCCCCATACGCACACTCCAGGATTCCATACACAAGAGGGTAGACCGCTCGGTTCTCACAAGCAGCAAGAGCCATTTGGAGAAGGCAACCGAAAAGCACACTTCGCACTTACGTGGGAGTTGCCAGTGGTGTGGGATGTTGGGGATGTTTATACGTGACGCATGTGTTGATGGGGGAATGTGAGGTGATGTGGTCATGTATGCGACGATCTACCGCAGGTTTTTATGTATGCACATGTGATCAAATAGGCCTATTAGATGTCTGAATGCGCGAAGTCAACGTAGGAAATAAGGGCGATGGTGTCTGGGGTATGTTGGTGATCCAGGCACTGGTTCACCAGCCTCTACACGATGGATTCACAAGTGACCGGCTAGGCCGATTTGTGAGGTCAGCGTGCGAGCGCAAGGGAAGGGCAGGTTAGGAGCGAGTCCACAGCGCTGGAGATAAGGTGGTAATGGTGAGGGTAGTGATTGGCTGGCCGTCGGGAGCGTTTTCTTCGGGGTTGGAATTGGGAGCTGTGGTGGCTGCCGACGTCGCCGCGGAGGTTTTGGCAGGGACGATGGAGATGGCGATAATCGGCGGCAGCAGGACACGGAGATGTTGAGTGCTGGTGGTGAGGACGGTCGTCGCATTGGACGACGTGAGGGTTGAAGCAGGGGCGGCCGGGGAAGCAGCGGTAGGTAGAGACTGGCTAGTGCATTGAGTCCGGGGATGTCCGACGAGGCCGATCCGCGCGCGGAATGTTCGTTGACAGCATTGGCATGTCGGGAGGCGTTAAGGGTTGGTATTGCGGGTCAGAGACGCCTGAGGCTTGCAAGTATCCCTTTAGGATTTGGCTGCAGTGATCTGGTTGGCCTCATAGATGGCTGCTGCAATCTTTACTGTTCTTCTTCAGGCCAGTCGGTTCGGTGTGAGGTGTTCCCAAGTCCTCAGCGTGATTTGTAGCCGCCTTGAGGAATTCTCCAAGGTGTTTATGTAGTGGCAGGTTTGACCTCCTTGTCGGCGAGCACCCGCGGCGAAATCTCCGTGAGGAGTTGTTTTGGCAGAGGGTCATCATCCCTTTACACCAGACGGCCGCCCCCTCGTAATTGCAGTTGTCTCAGCGTGGCGCAGATGACGAAGATTCCAGTCAGTTCCTAAGCTTCTATGTCCGGGATCCCATCCTTCCACCTCAGACTTTGGATCTGCCAGAGACAACTAAGGTGGGAGTGATTGGTTTTTCTGCGGTTGTTTCTTATAGACCGCCCAGGACTTCGCATCATACAGCAGCGCCTTCGAAATGATAGATTTGTAAATATTCAGTTCAATTTTGAGGTGAAGACCGTGGCGATTATGTACTGAGTTCTGCAATCGGCCGAAGCTTCGTTTGGCTGTGGAAACCCGGTGGGTCACTTCGCTGTCGCAGCGTAAGAGTGTGCTGCATAATTAGGAGAAATTATTCACGGTTTGAAGATGGATGCCGTTGATGTGAATTAAAGGGGCAATGTATGTAGTGCTGTGGCGATTGATGCATGACCACTGCATTATCCGCGTTGATGGTCATTCCGAAAGTGGCGCAGCTGGAGTCGAGTCCGTCCATGCTACTATAGCAGCAAAGAGGCGAGATCCAGGGAGCAGCCTTGAAGAAAAGGACATGATCGCTATGACAACAGCTTTATTCACCTAAATTCTTTCAGCTCAACAAGCTGGAATCCACGGTCCTTCCCAATGACTGTGAAGTTCTTCAAGGTTCCATTTTATCCCCTCACCACTTCTCCTTCCACACAGATGATTTAAGATCCCCAAACCACTGTGTCTTAGTTAATATGCTGATGATATGATTGTTGTAGACCATATCAAAATCGGACACATCTATAATCTCCGAAGGATGGCCTTGTAGTATGGCCTTATCGTAGTATGTCGCAGAAAAATAGACTCGCACGGTGTAATCAGAAATCAGTCCAATGTATTTTCTGACTGCGACCCTCTTCTAGTCCAGAATTCTTTGACATACTTCCAAACGAGGTATCCTCTTTCAAGTACCTTTGTGTTACTCTGTCATCAAATGTTTCGTTTTCCCTCCATAGTAAGACCCTGTTCACTAGAGTTTGTAAACTTCTTTATTGCATGCGTCGTTACGCTCCTACGACACACCTCAACCCTTAACCTGGCAATTTATAGATGCCTACATTCTTCCGCTTATTCTTTATTGTTCTCATGTCATTTTTCCTGCCTTGATCAAAATAGATATGTAAATTTTTAAACGAGTCCTACAAATTCCCTCCACAGTCGCTGGCGTTTCTTATGTATTTTAGCCGATATCGTCATGTGACAAAATTTCAAAACGATCAGGCAATTTGCTGAGCAAATTCTCGATGACGCTGTCCATCCCCTAAATTCAGAACTTATCTCTGCGAAGTCCTCCAGCCCCGGGCGCCGTGCCATACATCGGCATGTCAGCATTTTGCATTGCCGTTCCTGGCTAACTATCTTACGTGTGAAGAGATAGAAATACAGAAGGTAAGACTTGAATTGCCGCCATAACATTCGTTCGTTTCTGTGTAAAACAATTCCGACTCTCGAGAACTTTGTTAATTTCTATTCTGTCCGCCGTCAATGAGGCTTTTTGGCTGAAACTTTTCAATTTATACTTCAAAATAAAGCGGATTCTCCTTTCTCTGTTTCGGATTCCCCTCGATTTCATCATGAAACAACATCATATACGGGGTAGTTCATGCACAAGGAACTGCAGTATTTTTAGGATTTAGTCGCGGCTCTCCCTTCAATAGGAATTTTCGCACTTGGTGTGATGATTGTTCGATGGCCGACATTCGACTCACTAATCTCTGCAATTTCATCATTTGTATTGGATGTTGGTGTGATGGTTGCTCGGCCATCTAGCTCACCGATTCTGGCGTTGGGAATGATGTTTACCTGCCCACTCACCTTGTGGCTAATTTCTCCGCCCAGGCACTTGCTAATAGAATAGGGGTCAGTGAACCGTAACTCCAACAGTTCGCGGTTCAATTAAATGTCACCTCTAGCGAGAACTTCGGCGTCATCGAATGCAAATGCTGAGCCGGATCTCGTCGAATGAGCCGCAAATTAAAAGCTGGTGTAATTTCTCCGCACTGCTGCTGCTGCTTGCTGGGTTATTATCATTAAGAGAAGTCTTTCGGTTTCTCCGGAGCTGTTACTTTATCCAAAACTACACCAGATCCGATAAACAACTCCAGACTTTTCTCTCCATGGCAATGGGTTCAGCAGCCCCAGTCGTTGCAGGGCCGCCCGAAATCAGCGAACTCATTTTTGTGCCTTTCTCTGCTCGTATTTTATTTCACCGAACGTGACGTTCGTCCACAGACAGAACTCCAGGAACTGGAGGACTCGAGTTTGTCTAAGACGATTATCCCTTTCATCGTCTTTGTCTTGTAGAAGTAGCTCGATGGTCTCGATTGCCAAATCCTGAGGAAAGGGAGTAAAGAAGGACGTGACATCTAAAGATACCATGATCTAATTTGGCAGGCGGACTCTGCCCTTAATGTCTCTCCAGAAATAGTGCCGACGAAGAGGCTGTGCCATCGGACCAGCCGCTCGTCTTTCGACACCACAGGCAGAAATTCTGGCTTGTGCTGTGGATGATACCGTCTCGTTATCGACCGGAATCAGTGGCTGTCAGAAAAAAACTCAATGCTATCTGCCCCACCATACAATTTACGATGAGGGAGAAAGAGGCCAAACACCTGGCCTTCCTGTATACCCTCGTATGCCGCAACGATTGCGGTGGCCTGAAGACTAAAGTTTTTAGGAGAGCAACAAACACGACCCATGTACTGAACTTCAACGGCAACCACCAAATAAGCCACAAACGCAGTTATGTAAGGAGGACCTATTGGTGTGTCTAGACCCACTACAGTGAGCCGGAGGACAAGATTTCCGAATTATAATACCTTCGACCGTTGTTCAAAAAAATGGCTACCCGCTCAGCTTCGTCAGCATGTGCATACGCAAATGATACAAATGGGCAAGCCGCAAGGATCCCAAATTTTTGCGAGCTCTTCAGTACGCTAAGAACGTTTTGGAAGTTGTCAGTCGCCTTCTTGCACCATATGGAGTTTGACATGCACAGGGATCGGATTCAGCCCTCTGGCATCAGATAATGAGATCAAAAGACCTATTGTCATGGAGAGAAACGTCTGGAGTTGTTTATCGGATCTGGTGTAGTTTTGGATAAAGTAACAGCTCCGGAGAAACCGAAAGACTTCTCTTAATGAGAATAACCCAGCAAGCGGCAGCAGTGCGGAGAAATTACACCAGCTTTTAATTTGCGGCTCATTCGACGAGATCCGGCTCAGCATTTGCATTCGATGACGCCGAAGTTCTCGCTAGAGGTGACATTTAATTGAACCGCGAACTGTTGGAGTTACGGTTCACTGACCCCTATTCTATTAGCAAGTGCCTGGGCAGAGAAATTAGCCATAAGGTGAGTGGGCAGGTGAACACCATTCCCAACGCCAGAATCGATGAGCTAGATGGCCGAGCAATCATCACACCAACATCCAATACAAATGATGAAATTGCAGAGATTAGTGAGTCGAATGTCGGCCATCGAACAATCAGCACACCAAGTGCGAAAATTCCTATTGAAGGGAGAGCCGTGACTAAATCCTAAAAATACTGCAGTTCCTTCTGTATGAACTATCCCGTATATGATGTTGTTCCATGATGAAATCGAGGAGAATCCGAAGTGTCCGGCGAATAAAGCTCTTGACACAGCGACTTTGTCAGATTTTTCAGGGTCATACTCCGTTGCTCGCCACCGTCCTTCACTGTGTTGGGCGTGCAATTGTCCGCGAAGGGCAGGTTGTGAATCCTAATTGTGGGGAGACTCGACGAGGCCTGCATGAGCCGGCTACTGAGAAGCTGGTCGTCGATCCTGTAGGCGGTGCGGATCCCGGGCGCTCATCACGTTAGGCGTCGTCAGCGTTGCAGAAAACATGAGATTGGAGAGAGTGGGCGATTGTGCAGTCCTGTTTTACTCTGTCAGTTACTGCAAATGCTTCTGAGACATTCAGGTTGTTCGTGACGCGCGCCATCATCCGGCCGTGAATCTGAATCAGCATGAGCGTGAATCGTTTAAGACAGCCGAGTTTCTGCATGACTGTTTACATCCCATCGCGATTCACCGAGTCGAAGGCTTCTGTCACGTCCACTAAGGCAGTGTAGAGGTGGGTCTGCATTTCAGGGAATTTCTCTTGCAGCTGTCGGACGGCGATTTCAACTTCAATGGTTCTGCGGTTTTATCTGCATTCACACTGGCTTTTCGGCGGTAATTCCTCTTCGGGTTGGTCGCTGAGATAGATGGGAAGAATGCGAGCGAAGACCTTGCCGGTGATGTTTAGCAGCGAGATTTCTCCGTAGTTATCACGGGGTTGTTGGTTCCTTTTCGCTTGTAGAAATGGACGAATGTCACATCGTCGAAATCCTGAGGAGCCTGTCCTCGACGCCACATCTCCTGAAACAGTCATGTCAAGTGATTCCTCAGGTGGAGCCGCCGTCCTTTTAGACGTCGGTCGAAATCACGCCAGATCCCGGTGCTTTACTGCTAGACAATTGGGATACGGCTATGATTATTTCTGGGAGAAAAGATGGGAGATTAAGGTCGTTGTTTGTTTTTACTTAAGGGAGTCGGTCGATGACAGCGTCTGAGACTGTAAGGAGGCGGTTGAAGACACTTTCGAAGTCTCTGCCCAACGTTTCTGAAATTGCGATTTCTCCGCTAAAAGTGTGGCTCCATGTAGGCATTATACAGCATGAGCTTTTCCCAAGTAAACAAATTTTGAAAAACAGAACTGTAAAAGACAAGTTGGCGAGCGTGCGTCTACTTTCGACAAATTATCTTCAAGTCACTGCACTTATATTACTATTAAGATAGTGAATATAAAGATGCGGACAAGTAGATAACTTTTCTGTAAATCGGTTTTAGGGGGGGGGGAGAGAAAGTGAAACACCAAAATTACAGTCTGTGTCAGAGGGAGAGTGCTAACCGGGAAATGTAATCATATGCGAGTGGTTGGCTTGGTGGCTTTGGGTTATGGGAACTGTGGGGACTGTATCATGTTCCTCTGTGTGCACAGGACCGGTTTGTGTAACCTGACTGCAGCCACCTTTGCTGTAGCCAACGGACACTGTCTAAGTGGTCTTGGATGGCTTGACGAAACCTTGCAAATCACTCCGAAGGCTTCTGTGGCATTTATAGGGTGGTATGTGTCTACCATGTGCCCGTGGATAAAGCTGTTAATTTTCCTTATTTAACCCTTTTCTAACCATGCTGGAAGATGCTCTCTTATTCTTTTAAAAAAATGTCGACTCGTGCGACCAATATATTCTGCCCCACAGGAGCAAGTGACGGAGTAAAAACACATGAAACGGGTTTGAGCTGCTAGTTTGTCCTTGCCCTCTCCGTATAGGATGGGACTAGTGGAGAACAGTACATTGGTGTCGGTTGCTGGAAAGGTCTGTGATACAGCTTGAGTTAGGCACCTTCTGAATGTTCAGTTTGCGCGTCCCATTGAAATGGGACCCTGATGAATAGCCTTTTCTTTCCTGCTGTCAGTATCGGGGGCTTTGGTGGTCTTTTGGCCATGGTCTTAGCAATGAATTAATCGGGGTACCCGAAAAAGACTTTCAATAATCTTAGGCTCTTTCTCAATGCTATCAGCCGTACAGATTCTTCTCACCCATTTCTGTCAAGCAGGGGACTAAATTGCTTTTCAAGTTAGGCAGTACGAAACTCTCAAAATGGATTCATTGCTCAGCCCACGTCTTCTTATGATAAATGCTACGTCGAATACTGCCGTCAGGATTTCTGCTCAGAAGCGCGTCTAGAAAGAGAAGCGAACCGGACCGTTCTTCTCCCAGCGTGATGTTGCTTGATGTGTGTGCCCCATTTATATCATCCAGTAGGACTGAGACATCGTTTTTTTACTCGCATTTGCGAAGACACCATCCACGTGCGCCCATAGTAGCCCAGACCGTTGATCTGGTGACGAAGCTGGAAGGCTTTTGACTGGCCCACAAATATATTCGCCAAAAGGGGGCCAAGTGGCGAACCCGTAGTTTTTCCATCCATCTGTCTATGCAGATTGTTGTCAAATGGGAACTGCACGTTTAAGGTACACTCACTAACAATTTCTCGGGGGCATTCACCTACATTCATATATCCGGTTTATTGGAGGCAACGGATTCACAGAGGTAGTTGACTGTTTCTGTGGCCGGTATGTTCGTAAAAAGAGACGAGACATGTAGCAAAAACATAACCATTCCATTCAAACCGAGGTCTTTCACGCCGTCAACGAATTCAAAGGTCTCTCAAAGCTATGTGACACTAGCTGATACTTCGCGACTTAAATTTCTGCGCTTGTCATTTCGCTATCGCATGGTACGGCGGGTTCCTCTTATCGGGGAGTGAAAGAACCGGCGCGTCAACTTCGTTGATCTTCGGCCGGCCGCACAGCCGAGAAATATGCGTACCGACGGGACAGTGACGCTCTACGCCGTTTTCGCTTATGAAGCTATCGGCTTTAAATCTTCTAAAACAACCATTCGGATGTGCTCCAACCTCACCTGTATGATCCTCCTCATTTTCTGTTTTTCGAAAATTTCATAATTCTCTACCTGCCCTCACCTTTTTATTCTTTATTTTAATAACAATGTAGATGTGCAGGCCTGAAGAAAATTTGTCGAAAGTAGACTTACGTTCGCCAAGCTGTCTATTGAATTTCTTAAGGGGGAGTTTCTCAACTTTAGAGCAGTATCTAACTTACCTGGTGGTCGCTTACCTTGTGGTCCACTGCGCAGTCGCAGTCGGAGCCTCACCATGGGGGTGACGAGGCGGTAATCCATCCAACCGTCGGCATCGTAGATATCGTGGTCACCAGCATGTCCTGTCGAAGTCGCCACCGAACGAGAAATTAGTCCGGCAGCTGCCAGCGCCGCGATCGGGAGTGCATTCAGGTCGCATTCTTCCGCATCAGAAAGTGGAAGAGGGTGTTGGTCAGGAGGCGGTGCTCTGCGCGGACTCGCAGGAAAAGGAGACCGCGTTGTTGCAGCCGGCGATTCCATGGGGATCCAGAGCCTCCCTGCGGCCAACGTGGTCTGTTTCGAAGTGGGCGTTGAAGTCACCAAATACAACCAGCCTGCCCACCTTCGGCACAGTCGCCAAGAGAGCGTGTAGGTCTTCGTAGGATTTGTTCCTCGCCTCGTCGACTGTGGTCATTGGAGGGGGGAGCGCGGACACTGAGGATGGTGGCGAAATGGGCTTCCCAAGGTGGCAGGCGCAGGCTCATGAGGCGGCTGCTGACACTCTGCGGCAAACAGGGCAGTCGTCAGATGATGTCGTTCCGAATGCTAAAGGCTACGCCAGCACCGAGTCAATCTCCATTTGGGCGCCCTCATCAGAAGAAGGTGTGGCCGGCACCCGCAACCTTTAGTTGACTTTGTTCGGAGAAGCGGGCCTCGCGGAGTGCAGCAGTGTCCACCTTTTAGCGCGCCAGTTCCCAAACGGCTAGCACCGTCCTCCGTTTCGGTCGGTTGCTTCCCGGATTGTCTACAAGGCAACGAACATTTCAGGCTGCCAGAATGGGCGGCCTCACCCTAGCAGCCTGTGGGGTGAGGCAGAGGTTAGGGGACCGAGAGTGATTTTCGTTCATTGCAGTTTTTCAACTGCGAGTTTTGTATTATAAGCCACGGTATACTATCAGATGGTGTGATTTCTCCGCATTTATTTAGAGTGCATTTTCCAACCTCTCCCCCACTACGGGGTAAGCAGTACTGTTTCTAAAAAGGGCTACTTAGACATCCCGAACCCCACAATGGTTTGCGTCTTGTTTTAGTAAGAGAGCGACCCCAGTCTGAAGCTCTACGGGCTTGCATGTTGTTCCTTCGGGAAGACTTTTTGAAGTAAAAGGCAGGAGAAGGGTAGGAAGAGAGCAGAATTACCGAGCGTGGGGACACACAGCACAGGGCATCCTCATCTGGTTCAGCCCGCCGGTAAAGGGGGTTATGGGATGTGACCACTAATCGAAGCCCAGGTTCGGGGAGCCACATGTGAGAGATGGGTGTCAGTTAATGGCTGTGAGGAGCAGTCCCCATTTGCACGGCGCGACCTACCACTCGCTCACGGCTGCCCATAATTGGACAACCCCACACTCCACACACCCACCCACGAAAGTTTAGCCTCCGTGGCCGATAATGTCCGCCGTGTGCTCCGCAGTAGAATGAGATCAGCGACAGTGACTTGACGTGTTAGTTTATAGAGACGGTAAACTCTCACAGCATTTACCGCACCCTCTCCTCCTCCACCCGGATCCGGTGTCAAGACAGAGTCATGAAGACCGGAGGCGGAAGAGCGCACATGTGGCTGGCAGGATGAAAAAGCGAACACAGGACTACCACCACACCCCATGGTCCAAAACTTAAAATGACCGAGAGTGTGAACACCAAGACAAAACAGGGGACGGCTTGGAACTCAACTAGCGCGATGTATGCCTTCAAGTAGGCCTGCCACAATATTCAAAAGCTGACAATAGTTATGGATGTAGAATGATATTACCAACAAAGACAAGTTATGGATGCGCCTACGGGATTCCTAACTAGCCCACGCGTTGGTCCAGCGAGTAGACCACGCCGCACGTCTTGGGGAGGGGACACCCCGACACAAACACGCAACCAAGTACAAATAAATTGTCTCCCCAAATATCAAATGCATCGGACTGACAAAAACGACTTATCATGTACATGGTGTAGGTTGCCGTTAGTTCGCTGATTGGCAACAGGCAGACACAACTCGGATGGAACAGAAGCGCGCACACGCTAAAGGGCAGTAACCTCAAGGCTGAACACTGGCAGACAAACGCTCCTAAAGGGACGACTTGTTGCAGCTGCTTGCTAAGTCTCGTGTAGGCTCCTTCGCAAAAGTAAAGTTTGTCTAACCCAATCCAGCTTCCCTGCCTTGTGATTTGGGAATCTTCATGTTGATAAAAGCGAACAGGTTAGTTCCAGGAGGCAGTTCAGAAGAAGAAGAAGAAGAAGAAGAAGAAGAAGAAGATGCGGTCACTGAAACAAGAAGTTTATTGGCCTGACGTTTCGGATTCTCACTCTAACCCAGCATCAGAGACGGCTGCAGATAAAGGTAGTGGAGGCACAAAGACTGCAGTATTTATAGTATGTAGCCGCCACGGGGCCACGTGCGTACCATAATTAACAGCTCTCGGGACCACCGCGGGGGGTCATAATTAAGGCGATGATGGCTCGTCAGTCCGCGCCCGAGTGGTTAATTGCCGCAATATCATCACCCGTGTTGGATGTTGACATGATGATTACTCGGCCATTTGACCCGCTGTCACCAGAATAGTTGGACGCTCGCGCCCACGCTTTAAAAATATGGCCGAGTTCCGTGGAATGAGCTGTTACATGAGAGCTGGAAACGTTCCTCTTCACCGCTGCCGCGCGCTCTGCCATGCGCGTCCGGAGTAATCTACCAGTTTCTCCGACGTGCTTTCTCTGTCCACAGCAGCACCAGATCCGGTAAACGACTCCAGACGTTTCCTGTCGTAGCAGCGGGTCTTTCGGTCTCATGACTTGGAGCCTGATGGTTGTTTCCAGCTTGCGTGCAACCCCAAATCCAAGTGGTGTGAGAAGGTGGCTGACGGCTTCCGAGACGTTCCTCACGTACGGAAGCGCTCGCCAAAATTTTGGTTCGGTCGAGTTTGATTTCTGGTTTCGTCTGTATACGCATTGGCTGACAAAGTTGCGTGGGTAGCCACTGGCTCTCAGTATCCGTCGATGATATTGCAATTCAGCAACTTTGTCTTCCATTTCACTGCAGTGCGTCTCAACGTGCCGGTATGGCGCCCTTACGCAATTGCGTTTGCGATTGATCGGGTGGTTACTGTTGAAGTTCAGTATTTGCGCCGTGTCTGTCGCTTTCCTGAACACTTTGGTTTTTAGGCCACCACAATTTTTGCGGCAAACGACAGCAGTCAGAAAGGCCAGTTGGTTGTTCTTTTTTCTCCTCTACCGTCAATTAAATGTCCAGGAAGGAGGCGTTGAGACGTTCATCGAATGTCAGCACCTGACGCCGTTCGATGACGATGAAGGTATCATCCACATACCAAGTCCAGAATTTCGGTTTGTGGTGTCGGAAAACCAGCGACTCCATCTATTTTAGGACCGCCTCGACGCTGCGGCAGTCTGCATCCGAGATCGTTATCGCTGTCGCTTTGAGATACCTGTCTCCTATTCACCGCAAATTAACAGTTCATGCACTGCTGGAATCGCACCGGGTGCTGTCATTCAAAAAACGTCTCAACGCCGTCGTCCTGGACATTCAGTTTACGATGGAGGAGGGAGTGAACAACCAGCATGGCTGAGCACGCAGCAACGATGAGGAGGAAAGACGCCAGCTCTCAGATGGAAGCTCGTTCCACGGAACTCGGTCATATTTTAAAGTTTAAAGAGGCCGAAATCCTCGCAAGAGCTGACAACCGTGCGAGTTGCAAGCTGTTCGAATCATGGTTCTCAAGCCCGCAATCCATCAACAAGCTCAATGATCCCCCAGTACCATATTCAGTGCTGAGACATTCCCTGAGCAGGGAAATCAGTCCCGTGTTGAGGGCGCGGGCGCTCAACTATCCTGGTGACAGCGGGCCAAATGGCCGAGTAATCACCGTGTCAACGTCAAACACGGCTGATGAAATTGCAACAAGTAACGACTCGGACGCGGACTGACGAGCCATCGTCGCCTTAATTACGACCCCCCGGCGATGATCACGAGAGCTCTGAAGAAGAAGGAGACACGATCGCTGGGACTAGAGCTTTATTAGACTGACGTTTCAGAGTCCTGCTCTAACCCATCATCAGAGACAACAGCAGATACTGGTGGTTCATGCACAAGGGGCTGCAGTATTTATAGGACGCAGTCGCCATGCTACTGCATACCTATGAACATTCACGCCTCCACCCTTTCAGACGAGATCGTCGCACTTGGTGTGCTAATTGTTTGATGGCCGACATTCGCGTCGTTAATTTCCGCACTTTCTTTACGTGTGTTGGATGTTGGTGTGATGATTGCTCGACCATCTGACGTAGCGACCCTGGTGTTGGGAAAAGTGTTCACCTGTGCGCTCTCAGCATAGTTGATTACTCCGCCCAGGCGAAGTCTCAGCACCAAGTATGGAAGGGGAAGTTCATTGCACTTGTTAATGTACTGGGGGCCAGTAAACCATGATTCAAGTAGCTCCCGGATCACGCGGTTGTCACCTCTTGCGGGAATTTCGGCCTCGTCGAATCTGAATGTGTGGCCGGATCTCGTCGAATGAGCCGCAACTTGAGGGCCGGCGTCACTTCTCCGCACCGTTGCAGCGTGTTCGGCCATTCTCGTTCGGAGCTGTCTTCTGGTTTCTCCGACGTAGTTCCTTTGTCCGCAACTGCACCAGATCCGATAAACGACTCCAGACGTTTGAAGCCGTGGCAGCGGATCTTTTGGTTTCATTACCAGACGCCTGATGGCTGCCTCCGATCTGTGTGCAACTCCAACCCCAAGTGGTGCAAGGTGGCGGCCGACAGCTTCCGCAACGTTCTTGACATACGTAAGCGCCTGCCAGGACTTGGTGTCCGTGCGGTTAGGCCTTTCGTCCCTTTTGCGTATGCATCCGCTGACGAAGTTGCGCGGGTACCCAAAGCCAATGACTACCCGCGCAACTTCGTCAACCACCATCACCACCGCCACCACCGCCAACAACAACAATAACATCAAAAGGGAACGGCAAGAATTCTAATTGGCGCCCTTGGACCAGTAGATGCCAGCCGGGGCGTCAACATTTTTAAGATAGTTGGATTTAGCGGCCATTAACGAGAAAAAGTTCTTGGGTCTATCAAAATCATAATCTAGGCCTAATCTATGTGCTGAGGCATAGGGAATTAGGTGTAGGTCCTGACTGAAACGCTTTCAGCGTTTAAGCCCTGGGGCTTTGAATAAGCTCGTAGCAAATTCAATGACAACACCTTCATCCAGCTGGTTTATTAGGCAAAGGACATCGAACTGTCCTAACTATTTTGAGGTGCTCAACTGTTTCTTTGGATTTTGATCCTCGAAACCACCAAACTAGCCAGAACATGTTAGATGTGAATTCTACATGACGTCATATGTCCTACAGAATTGCCTGTTGCTAATCAGTCTGATTAGGCAGTATAAGTAAACTAGTTTTAAAGATTGCCGGCATCGCCATTCTACGAGTACAAACACACAGGGCCTCTTTGTGCAAACAACCGGAAAAACTCACCAGGTTTTACAAAACCTCTAGAAAGAACTGCGGTTCCAGCATACTGATCAATTCTTAAACGTGAACCTATACCGCCAGTCACTAACGCCTGCAATAAAAACGACGAAGGATTTGCTTGTTGAGTAGTTTGGAAATATAGCCACTGGCCAGAAACAAACCAACTCTCTTATCTGAACCTCCGCTGTGACTTCTATCATAAGTAGGGTCCCTCGGAAAAATTGGCAGAAGTTTTGAAGTCATTGACAAAGGTAACGTTGGGACGAGTAGTCCAAACACTCTCAGGACTGAAACATCAAATGAACGATGCTTTCGTGCCCCAGTTATAGATTGCAAAAATCTTCTGCCATGATAGATAAACATGCTTAATCGGCAGAATCAGCTATAGCCAGCAAGTGGAAGCAGAAGCTGAGGACACAGCGACCATGACAGAAAGGAGCAAAAGTGAAAATCAGAACAATTATCAATTTTCCACTTTAAGACTGGGCTTCATACGAAGTGCGTTGAACGGACCGCATGGATTACGATTTGTCAGACTTTTACTAGTTGTTTGGAAGTGCATAGGTGATGGTTTGCCTTAAGCGAGTAAAGCCAGTCTACGGAAACAAGTGCTTACCGGACGGTGAAATTCCGCACCACTTGAGATAGTACGATAGTAAAAAGAGATGTTGTCTAAAGTATGAATACTTTCCTTATCCTGACCTGCATGACACGCAGAGGATGAGCGGCAGGAAGTAACTGAACGGAACACGGGATGAGATCCCATTCAAGGCACGAAGTTCTTTCCAAAGCAGTTTTAAATTACACATGGAAAATGCAGACTGATAAAGCGGAATTCACAGATGTCAGATGTATGTTTTGCAACGAGTCTAAACAAATCTACCGCCACCCCTCGTTCAAGACAACTAGCTAAGTGCGTGTTATCCCCCGGATACGAATAAAGGAGTGATTCTAACCGGCTTTCGTACTTAACAAAGGATAAGATCAGTTTCGGGGGGTCAGCCAGTAATTGAATTACCAGGAATCGTATGATCCGAAGTAAACCTACAATCTATCAATTAATTCTTTGCGGAGTCGACAGAATTCACAGGATTTCAATTGGTATAGCGCTTAAATTTGTCTCGAAGTTTTATTTTCGGGAAGGAAATATACTTCGTTTTTTTTCACTCCACAAGCGAGACAGTCCAGAAAAGCAAGTCTGTGATGCTTTATTACAAAATTCGCAGACACGTACATGGAAAGTCTTGTAATTACACAAACCTGTGAAAATGTCTCCCATTTTACAAAAAAATGCAAAAATGCACAGTTGAGTAAGCATTCTCAACAAAACCCTTTTCTCGGATCTAGTTGACTAACAATCAAGTTAGTTTTGTCCGTGACACAAGAGAACCCCTAAAGTGGAGAAAATAAAATTTCAACAGATTAATTGTCATGACACTTTTCCTACAGGGAAAAATCTTCAAGAGAGCGCCAGAGACCGAACGAGTGGACAGGCTATATGCAATCTTATGAGGAAATAAGTTAAAATTAAATAAGCCATTTGCAGTGTACTATAGATTACGCAGACAACAAGGAATCAAAAACACAGTGTTAAGCCTTCCCTCTTTCGACAAGGGTCTTTTTTCCTAAGAAATGCTCCCAACTCCTCCCATCCCCCTCCAACACGAACCATGATGTTCTTGTTGTAAAATCGAACCAAGTGCGTAAGCCGGCTTCTTCCAAACTATTAAAAAAGAATAAAAGCCTTTATGGAAGTGCGAAAAAGATTTAGCAGTCAGGTATAATGAAGAAAATGGAGACCGTTTAAAATATTTTTACGCGAAACAAAATAAACACCGACAAGCAAACTGAAAACTCTTGAAGTTCCGAAAATATCAAAGCCAAATTATTCAAATTTTTCAAAGTGTCTCTTAAAAACTTCCTCTTGGTTTTTCCTTGAGAACGTAAGGGCCCGTGAGAAGTTACGTTATAAAATCACGCATCTTAGCGTAAAATATGATGTTTTTGGTCACAATATGGAAACACAGTCGTCCGCTTTTTAGCATAGTAACCAAATGTAATTTTTGCAGAGTGAAGTATTTGCATGGTATCTAAATCCTTTTGTGAAATAGAAGCCGTGAACACTTTTAAATCACACAAGACGACAAAACTGGGAGCTACTAACGTATTTGTTGCTATTGGGATGCTACCATTAACGAGTTTAACGCTGCAAACAGCTCATAAAAGTCCTCTTACTCGTGAGGCAAATCCCTCTACAACAGTGACCCAGGGATGGTAAGTCGTGCTAGTCATCATTAACATGGGTATATTAGATGATTGTAGAATTGTATAAACTCTGAGCACAGTTTTTAAACTGTGGACTTCCAATGATAGGGATGCTGAAAGAAATATGACAGGCTGGCGGTCCAGTTTCCTTTTTCGACTAAGGGTCTAAGGCCCATTTGAATGGAAATTAAAATGTCGCTCGTTTTTTCGATAAGTAATTTCAATCTACACAGTACTGGCAAATAGAAGATATTATTCACGATAAAATCAACCTGTAGAACAGAAAACTTGATGAAAAACAAAAAAACGGAAGACGGTTTTGCTACTATGTTTTACTAAAGGTTCCACGCCAAATGCCTAGGAAGATTTTACTGTGGACTGTTTGCCTTTAGGACCCCCACACACTGATATGTATATTTTACCCACCAAAATATGAGAGCCATGGATGCATTTGAGCCAGTTCTGGACTGAACGGAAATTAACTTAATGTAAACGGAACGCTCGCACGAAAAGAGGAAAATCTTAACATACGGTGTATGTGAATTCCGCGACCCGTTGTATTTTGAAGGGCGGCGAACAGATGCATTCTTTTTGTTCTGACTCAATTGCTGACGAAATCACTTCTAAGTCCGTCGAATCCTCGTACTAAGAAAATGCGGATATACAGAGGCGTTCATTCGATTAAGTCTTGAAACAACACCTGTGCGTGAATCTGAACTGCTGGTCAAAAAATTCACGATAAATGCACAAAAAACAGAGTTTGGGGCGAACCCAGTCTCTGCAAGTCATTTTATCTGATAGTTTATTTCACTGAATTAGTGAATAAGTCGGCAAACGCAAAAAGTGTTAACCTATTAAGTTATAGCTCATTAAAACGTTATAACATCGTGAAAAGTGTTTGACACGTTTGTTGTGCTTAGATTCGTTGAATATGCGCCAGGTGGATAATAAACTAGCAAGTGCAAGGTGGTTAAGTCGCGTGGTAATATCAAGACAGGGCATAAACGAGCGACGTTTTGCGCCTTGCAATTATCTACGAGCTAAAGAAAGACATGAAGCTGAAACTATCCAAAAGGAAGCGCATACAACCACAATTCATTTACCGTTCTAAAATTCAAAAAACCTCATTCTTCTAAAAGGTTGGAGAAACATTCTCCAAAGCTTTATGCACACCAGGATGGAAGAAGTTATAGTTTTTCGCTCAAGGCAGGTCATCAGGCATTCCCGGACGCATTTACTCTTATTTGCTGAACGTTTTGTTGGACTTTTGATACAAATATTAAAAGACTCTGCCTGGCCTCTGCCAACACATGGCCCCACCTTGTGGGTGTGGCCAAGTGTGGGTGGAGGTGGCCATGGCCACGCCATATTTTGAAAAATTTCAAGGGGCATTTCAACCGCTGAAACGGAATATTTTGCGTTTACATGTTCCACATTTACCTAAATATGCGTTAATTCACCCAGATAGTGCCCTAAGGCCTCATTTCTTGGGGGAAGATAAGTAGCTCACTTAAACAAAAACGTTCTAATCGGTTTGTACAGCGAACCGATTAGAACGTTTTTGTTTAAGTGAGCTACTTGGACGCCATTTATCTACTGTTCTGCCGAGCGGGATTACTGCAGTCTCATTATGGCTGGGATGCTCGTGACAAAGCGGTACGTCGTCCCACGTCGATTTAATGTCTGTCGCCCCTTTGTGGTCTTACGTACGCCACTAATAATATATTTCATGTTATACAAGTGGGAAGTAGGCTTATTAACTTAATGGCAACTCTAATCTCACAGTAAGTGTTTAAAATACAGTTAAATTTTTTTGTATGCTGTTTTTATCCACCACCAGAGGCAATCGTGAGACGCAAGTATTACGGCTATCGTTGGAGACAATGTACAGCAGACTGCGCTTGACAAGATAGCATATTAGGCGCTGATGAAGAATCCCTCCGTTCCGTCTACGTCGTCGGTGGTAGACCACCCACTTGAATTAGAAGTACCCGAGCAAGTCCCAGAAGTCTATACGGGTAGGCATCTTACTGTTACTTACTAGAAAGTTAAGAACCCGTAGATATAAATGAGAACGCAGTCGCAGGCAAGTGCTTCCCGACGGATTTACGGGAATTCTGCTTGGAGGCCCAAATGCCACTATTCACAACAAAGAAGTTGGTTAGGATGCTGCGGCCCTACCATCCAGAAGTAGCCAAAGGCCCAAGGACATGAGCAAACGCCCTGAACCTGCATTAGCAGACCCCTGACCAAGGGCATCTATGTCCTTTTAGTTATTGAGCGTGGTCTTCTGGATCAACTGTACAGTCTGCCAGCAACGACCGTTCCTGAAATGCACATCCAACTGCCTAGTGACGGAATGAAGATTTTCAAGGGGTCTAGTCAGTGCCTGTGGCCGATTCTTGCTCGTGTTCGCCATCCGGTTGTTAGTCAGCCCTTCATTGTTGGAGTGTTTTCCGGTCACGGTAAGCCCGATCCGTTGGATGACTTCCCGGGCGAATGTGTTGGCGAGATGAGAGACATACTGACCAGTGATCTGCGTATTCCATATACGGAAAATATCGTGAAAGTGGACTTCGCCAATGTCATCTGCGACACACCTGCCCACTGTTATGTGCGGGAAGTTAAAGCTCGCAATGGCTATTACAGGTGTGAGATGTATGTTGTTTCGCAGATTTAACTAGAAAAACCGCAGGTGTTTCCACATGGACAAGCTTATTGCGAATCGCATGACGTTCCCAGCATAAAGCAGGCGTCTGCGCAACGATAGGCCATTCAGGTTGCGTAGTCAGGAACTGCACCATAAGGGCAGGTCTCCGTTCGAGGGTTTACCCATCAATATGGTTGACTCCTTCCCACTTGACTATATGCACCTAGTTTACCTCGGCGTCATGCGGGATTTGCTGAATATTTGGCGTACGGGATCCAGCAAATACTCTAATTAATTAAATGCGCCAATTATAATTTTCAGCCAATATTTGCCGGAAGAGTTTTCCCGTAAGTGTAGAACAATCGATTGTCTAGAGTTTTGGAAGGCTGCCGAATACAGCAATTTCTACGGTATATAGGCCCTGTCGTTTTGTCCTCCTCTATAGGCGAAGTCCGCTATAAACACTTTTTGCCATTTTCCCTGACAGTATACATATTTTGTAATCCGACATTATATGTATCCTGGAGAGAATACGGCCGGCTTCTGTTAAATAGCTTTCTTACAGATTTCCCTACCTTGTACAGTCCTTCCAAAAATATTTACAATGAACATGGCCTGCTTCACCTGCATAACACTGTTACTCGATTTGGAGTGCTGGATAACTTCTCGGCATTTCCTTCCGAGTCCTTCTTAAAAATGTCCATATCAGTGTAAAAGGGCCAACTAACGCAGTCGCGCTGGTTTCCAAGCGCTTTTCTGAAAGGCGCTTGTCTGAGATGCCGGCATGCCCTATGCTGTTGGACGATGATGAGGGAGTGGCACAGTCATTTAGCCTGCTTCGCGGATCCAGCCCTGTTTTCCACGGAGTTTGTTCTGTCAAATGAACCGCCCGACAATGTGGCACTTCAAAAGAAAATGAAGCGTTCACCGGGAGAGGTGCATTGGAGATCTGACGTTTCGAGCAGTCGTTTCTTCTACCCATCTTCAGAGCCTGGGAAGTCATGCACATAGCTCTCCTAATATGACACGCTTTATGTGATGGCTGACCCGCCAATGCCGCTCGTATGGCTGCATCCGATCTGCATGTCACTATTACCTGAGTCTCGCCCATCCTTATCGGAAATAGGCAGTGCCCACGGACATCAGTGTCTACTACCGGCATAGCGTACCACCTGTTCCTTGGCTGTGAGGACCTTTTCGCAACATCTCTTCCCTCTTTCTCCTTGTATATGCTTAAAACCTGCCGTATATGAGACATTCCTTCAACTGCTGCCCTCTGAGACGTCATTTATAAATACGTTCCCTTTGATATTGACGGCCGTTTTTTCTGATCGCCTTATTGCACACTGCCCGTGCATCGTGATTCTCGTTTGCATTGTGCATCTGAGTGTATAAGTTTCCTGTAAATGAATTCGTAAACGACAAAGTTGTGGCCGTGATGGCTGCAGCCTGGTTTTACGACGTCGATAGCGTTATGTGGCCTAAGAACCACAAAGAGCGGACTGTTCTGCTGAATAACAGGCGGCCACCAGACGGCACTAAGGTGTACGCTGTGAGGCCACTAAAAAGAAATCTGACTCTGCTAAGGGTCTCAATATAGTAAGGCTAAATAGTAAGGCAGATTGAACAGTGAAACTGTGTGGGCTTACGGCCTGCCTGGTTGAAAAAGGTGAGAATGTCGGATCCCGTAGTCCATCGTAGGCCGGTTTTTCTGGCAAAACAAGTAGGAAAGATTTCAATAAATTTCAACAAACGTTATGCAAAAAAGGAGAAGCATTTTCAAAGATCGAGGATATATTACGAATTCTGCTAGTATACAATGATCCCTCACTTACATGAAAACTCAAAGGTCGGAACCACTAACATGCAGACGTCATCTTTGAAACTGACCCTGTTCTTCCTATCCTGAGTGGCTGGTACTTAAAAACACTCAAACTGTTTAAACACATGACTGACTAAAGTCGAGTTTAGCAGTGGCCATGCTTCCGTTGCTTGTCGGCATGAAGACCTGCTACGAGCTGCACTATTGACCATCGTCCTGCAGGGTGACACATCGTACTTATGCTGGATGATGTTCTCATTTAGATATGGAGGTTTCAGCAAGATGACTTTGACAACTCTTTGGTACTGAAATTGGATTAAAATGACTGTATAATTTCCCAAAGACTTCCTTTAATATGTATCGAAATAAGAGTAGATTAAAAGACATCCCGAGAGGGGAAAATACGAATATTATTCAGATTGGGAAGGACCGAAAATGAACGAATACTCCTCCATATTTCATGTATGGCAACCATAAATTCGGCATGTATTTCGAAGCAAGATAGATCTTACCATCTGACTGACTTCCATTAGATTGTACTCCAGTATCTGCTTGAGAAGAAATACTCGAGTCTAGGGAGGATACGGCGTTCATTTCCTCGATACATATCGGCTTTTCCCAAAAATACCTAAAATTCGGACATACCCGACAAGTGAAGATTTGCAAATCTAAACGACATGAAGTGTAAATATAAAATGACATACTCCCTAATTATAAGTTTTATATTATCAAATTAGTGATGGCGAAGTTCGGTTTGTCACATTTTGTAGGAAATATTTTTCCAAACTGACGCGGCTACATGCCGGTATCGACAACTTGAAAAAGTAAACATTATGCGGCATGAAGTTGGGGCAGTACTAGCTTTTAATTCAGTATGACAACTGATTAACCAAGATTAATAAAATTTGCACTTAAATATAATTTCTCGGCAAACTGTTCTGTGTGAACTCTGTCAAAAGAAATGTACATAGTGACTTCCAGGGTTCGACGGATCGGCAGAACCTTCAACTGCAAGCAGGTTCGAAACTTTCCCTTGGAAAGAGGTGTGGAATATGTCGTTTCACAAATCAGACGGTTAGCTCTGCTATCCATCAACACCTGAAATGCGGCAAGGTGAATAATTAAAGGAAAAATAAAATTCATGAATCTTTTGTATAAGGCATATACAGTGAAAAAGAGGCGGACCTGCTTTTTAAGTCCCTCTTCGCGGGCAACAAAACGAGAAAAGACATCATGTCACAATATCGTGCGGTGAAACACGCCCAAGGGCGAAGTGATAGCTGATAACTGATCACGTTGTACGTGTAATCAACAGTGGTTCGAACGAACTGTTAATGGAAAGCCACCCACATTGTTAAAAGTGTTCAATAACTACCTAGGTCGATTACAACTGTCAGCACTACATGCTTAGTCAGTAATGACTGCTACAAACGTGCATCAATCCAAGACCCAGTAGCCTCGGCAGGAGTACTTAGTCTGATTGGGAAGCACAAGGAAACGGAACTTGAGAACAATAAAGAGATTCCAATACTAATTATCGCGTTGTGGAAAACTAGGCAACCCTTTGATACTTGGGATTTATGCCCCGCCTACATTCAAAAGACATGCCTCTACTGTGCATCTTGTCATTTACTTATCCCCCTTGTCCTCTGTCATACGACTTAATATCAAACCAATATTTGCTTCAGTATCTCGACTTCATTGACTTAAATAATTTTAGCTTTGGTAGGAGGGCGTTCACTGTTCGTGGTATGAAACTCACTCATCCCGTTACGCCTTGGGTTCTCACTGGAGTCTAACCAGCAGCCGCGCAGCGGCGCGTACTATAGGCAGACTTACTGGCCGACGACGGTTAATGAGTCGGAAATGGCCATTCCAGTTCCGTTGTCATTGTCGGTAGTGCCATATTGCCTAATTTTAACTTTTCTTAACACAGATAGATGTAGGCACTTAAAGCCGAGACCAACCGAACAGGAAACCTTATAAGGTTTCCTGAGTAATCGTCTAGGAGTTCTTAACGTTCGCACACCCAGTCACCAGTACAGAGCGCTATAACACTACAGTGTACTGAAATTTGTCGGTCAAAGTAAAATGCATAATATCGCAGCCAATAACGACTTTCGGTTCACCCAAATTAAATCGCGTTAATATGACTGGAGAGTTATCAGCAAAGTTGTCAAATCTACCGAACGGCTGCTCTCAGATCCCTTTTTTCCCCTATCGACTGCCTGCCCCGACTTGAATGTTTGAAGACAAAGAGATCAAATCTCAATCAGGAGAAAAAATGTAGGGCCAATTGCATAAAGAGTATGACGTTATTCTATTGAAATCGACAAATTAAACTCCATATCGGATGGAGGTAGTTAAGTTCTTGTTTCAGCTTTGTGTATCATGGAGTGACCGATTACTGTAGCATATGTTGTTACCTTGTGTGTAGTAACGCATTAGAAGATGTATCATAATGTTAAAAGGCGTTTGGTATACAGGCGTGAAGTACTTTAACTTAATTTATTTTAACATATATCGGAAAAAATATTAGAGAAGGTAATATCTGAGCCATTTTGTTAAAATCCTGATCAAAGGACAGAAGAGAGGACTATGAATTGCAAGTGGTCAACGATTTCAAGTAAAATATAATGTCGGGGATTAAGTGTCGCCAACCTTCAGGAGTAGCTCCTTTAGCGAAGCTCGCATAGAAAGATCGTTAGATGCACAGGGTAGTAGTAGTAGTAGTAGCAGCAGCAGCAGTAGTAGCAGGGTTGGTGTTTTTTCCATACATGTTAAGGAGGAAAAAGCCTATAATGTAATCACGTACGTCATGAGAACGCCGGTCCAAACGGGTCGCATGGGGCCGGGTTGGGCTGGTGCTAGCGGGGCCTTTACTCCGTGGTATGGGGTTATAACCTCAGCTTATAAGCTGCAAACGTTTGATCAAGTAGTGCTACGTGATACGTATCTTCAGTTGACTAGATCTCTAAACGCAGCGAAAGCTCAGGAGCTGCTTAACGATAACCAGTCATAAAAAGTCGTTGATTGCAAATGGAAACACTGGTGGCAAAAGCAAAAAGCCTGAGTCTAACGAGGGACCAACTGCCAATATCTGAAAACGACTGGCGACAGATGAAACCACAGGATGCTGCCATAGCACGCTTCTATGGACTGCCGAAAATTCACAAATCAAACGTTCTCCTAAGGCCAATTGTGGCGCTGAAAGGCACATCTACCTACGGTCTGGCTAAATGGCTTGCTAAACATCCAAAGAAGCTGACGGAGGGCTCAGAACACACAGCTTTATCCCTAACACACTTCCAGGAAGGACTCCGAGGCATCACAATAGTCTTCGACAAAATAATGTTGTTCTTCGACGTCGTCTCTCTTTTCACCTCCATCCCTAAAGAATTGGCCACGAAGGTCGTAAGTGACCTAATGGATAGGAGGTACGATGAAGAGAAAAGACTCTGAAACGAAAGCACATAATGGGTCTACTGGATTGCTGTTTGAGCACGTAATCCACGTTTGATGGTCGTGTGCACGAGCAAATCTAGGGAACCCCAATCATTTCGCCAATCTCAGGCTACCGAGCTGAGGTAGCTCTGCAAAAACTGGAAACACGGGTTTTTCAGTCCTACATGCCAAAATTCTGGATCCGCTACGTAACGACACCCTTGTCATCCTACGTCGAGACGCGAAAGAGATCTTCAAAGGGAAATTGAACTCAATTTTCCAAAAAAATTAAATTCACAATGGAGGAAGAAAAGGACGGAGAAATCTCCTTTATGGATGTCCGGGTGTCGAGATAGGAAGACGAAGCACTCCAGACTGGTATCTTTCGGAAAGCGATAAATAGGGCGAAAATCCTCCATCACAGCAGTAACCACCCCTTTTCACATAACCGCGGTTGCGTCCGGACACTCTTTCAACGCATCAACACACAGTGCAACACAGAGGCTGAAAAGCGGAGAGAGCTTAAGTCCCTATGGTGCCTCTTTCTCTTCGATGGGTACCCACGTTGCTTCATAAATAAATGCCTGTATCAAAGGAACACAAAGACCGACAACGAACAAAAACTGAAACCTGAAATCTTCCGTGCTCTACCCTACGTGAGTGACGTTTCCAAAGCGATTAAACGCATGCTCAGATCACTCAACGTGGGCCTTGGACACCGGCCGGAGGTCATTATCGCCGCTTGTTCATGCAGTCCAAGGAGCAGTTACCACCTGACGACAAGTCAGAAAGTGTTTACCGCGTCAATTGTCTAGAATATCCGGTCAACTTTTGTGGCATTACCGACAAACGATTAAGGTCACGCATGCATGAACATTCTCTAGCTGTAAAGCAAGCAAATGTACGATCGGACGTTTCTTTGCATAGCCTCGAAAGTGGTCATCAATTCCACTTAGAAAAGAAAGAAGTAATCGGCCAAGCCGAAAGCAAAATGGCGAGCGAGATGATCGAAGCCTGGCAATCCAAGGCTAACTCGGTCAACCATAGGGTCGACCTACCGGCGTCCGACGAGGCCGTCGGACACCGCTTAGGCAGGCAATTATGGTCAATGAGAAGAGATAACGATGAATCTGCCAGTATTGAGTAAAAAAGGACCTCATTAGGCGATGTATTTCTTCTTTTTTTTATCTTCGATGGTGCGCTTAAGTAATAGTTTGAAACGTCAGATGAATAAACCATCCTCCCCAGAGATCTCTTTACTTTCTCCTGCCACCTTAACACCTAGGGTCAGCATTTTCGTCTACATCCACACACATATATATCATGCATATATGAAGAAGATAGAAGGCTCGTCGGGAAACGTGAGTTATATTCGTGAATTTTCGGGCTGCTGATACCAACGAGTCGTCAGACGAAAAAAACGAAACACAATAACAAGATAACAAAACGAAATAAATAAAACATATATACAAGAAGCGTTATAGTTAATGAAGATGCATTGCATATATATACAGTGCGTGACCGATCTCATAAAATGTTGGCCAAAATTCTGGAATGCGTTTCCGATTACGAAGTATTACTTAAGTGGGGTTGTTGAACTGATTAGTATGCAGCATAATCATATAACATTTCGGACTTGCTAGGATGTCGATTTTGATTGCACTTCTTGTTGACCACCTGCAAAACGACACTTGATAAAAAATTACTGCTTAAGTAGCACGCATTTTTCCAATTGATTTTCGATTGTGTTATAAATTCAAATATATGTTATAGAAAACATGCACGGAATATGCTTTCTGTTGCTCATTTGGCAGAAAATCCCATTACCTCCATATTTTATGTCCGAAGAAAGTGCATATTTAGGTTTTTAAAAGTTTCTTATTATGAGATTTTTTAAGACCGTGCGATGTCAATGCATGCAAGACCGCACATGTCCGTTTACTAATGCTCCTCATGAAATGTACAACACAATACGGATCGATTGCAAAATTTCATGGACTCTATGTGGTATCTTCTTAAAGGCAAAGAGGAATATGTGATTTTCCTAACGCGGAAAGCATGCATACATCTTGCAGACTGAAATTACTAAACGCTGATGCACCGGCAGATCGGGCTGAAAATTATTCGGGACTTGTGAAGCTTTTTTAAAACCTGAATATATTCAGGCGTATATATACAGTGTATAGATACACTTTCTTTTGGCATAAAATATGGACATAATGAGATGTTCTACCAACTGAGCAACAGACAGCACATTTTATGCATGTTTTCTATAAAATATATTTGAATATATAAGACTATCGCAAAACAATGAGAAAAATTCCTGCTGACTATGTAGTCATTGTTTGCTAAATGTGGTTTTTGCAGGAGGTCAAAAAGAAGTGCATTCAAAAGCGGACATCCTGGCGAATCCGAAATGTCATAGAGTTATACTGCATGCTAATGAGTATAACAAAACCATTTAAGTATTCCTTTCTAATCGGAAACGCCTTCCAGAATTTTGGCCAACAGTTTACGAGATCGGTCACGCGCTGTTTATAATACATACCCTGCCAGCACCAGCCCCCTCTATAGATACATAGATCCAATACATAGATCAGATCAGATCAGATCAGATCAGATTTATTAAGGGAAAAGTAGGCGAGCGC